GAATTTTTTGTCTCAGGATAGAAGGATACGTAATTATTGTGGTTGTTATCAGAGCTATAGTGTAGTGTTACAGGTTCCTAAATTTAAATAGATTTTATCACTTTTTTTGATTGCTACAACTTTATTATTTTATCATTGGCTTTAGATGTTAACAACAAGTCAAAACTTTATGAGATGCCACAATGAATTATTTTTCCAAATAAAAACCAACGTTTATTTCTAAAAACATACTGGGCTCAGCATACCGTTTTAAAGTGTTTTTGAGTATACATGTCTCATAATATTTACATTTTATAAACTTTTCAGAATTTTAAATGAATTAAACTAATTTATTTCAATCTTCCAGTATTACTTTATGCAAATGCAAAATCATGATATAATAATGTAGCCATCTTACAGGAGTCATGTCCACTTAGATGTCTCAATTCTCAAAAAAAAACAATTTTTTAAAATCTATAAAGACCTGATTTACCATCCTCATAATATTATCTATAAGGTGACTTTAACATTTACAAATATCTATTTTTCCACCACAGGATTGGCTTTTTGTTAAAACTCAAAAGTCACTGAATCAAAGACAAACAAGTAAGTCAAAAGGTCACTGCACAGCAGCGTAATGAGGACTAAGTTCTGCGTAAGTCGGGGGTGCACATACCTATCTACACAAAGAAAATCACGTGAAGAGGAATGTTTGGCATTTTGCCTGCTAATGTGAAAAAGAAAAAATATTCTTTCACAAATTCAGTTCCACCAGAATCAGATCAGAATCAGACTGAGCTCAGGGTCACACAACTAATAAACAGCCTAAGGCAACTGTCTCATACCGGGGGTCCAGCATGTACATCACCCAGCCCCGCGTGAGGATCAAAGCACCACAGAAACCAGGAAGGGGTCCCACTTCTCAGAACACTGTGATCGAGGTGCTGGCTCATGTGGAAGCGACACAAGGAGGCTGACTCACAGACAACACTAACCAATTCACTTTTAAACTCAAGAGTTTTCAGTGAAGACAGACAGATCTATTAAGCCTTGAACCTGTGCTCAGCTGGAAGTCTTGATGCTCAAGGGATACACTCTTCCTTTATAAATGTGCCAAACAAACCATATTTGGATAAATATTCAAATGAACACTTTGAAACAACAAGGATTGTGGAAGTATCTCCTAAGTTAGTTTTCTGATGGTGCAGTTAAGACAAGATGATATAAAAGCTTTACATCAAAAGGTCATTTTGGAATGTCAGCAGCCCTCAGCAAAGATCCAAGTTTCACATTAAATGATCTTATAAAAAATGGTGAATATAATAAAAGCCCAGCTCCCATGGTCCCACTTGTCTTCAGCTTTCTATGAATGGAATCAGATTCCATGTGTTGCTGCCATCATGCTGAAATTCACAGGCTGTCCAAAAGAAACATTTTGTCAGAAGTTAATGAACTCAAAAAAACAGTGATGCTGAATTCAGTCTTAACTCGGCACCCGTGCGTAGTGGAAGAAATGCTTTACCACTATTCTGAATACTGGACATGAAAAAGTATTGCTGGGGTAAAGACCAATTTCATTAGCTGCAAGACACAGTATCGCTGCATTTGCCAATAAAAGAAAAGGAAGAGCAGTTATATTGAAAATGATGGTCATACTCAAAAACACAATATAAAGAGACGGATGGATGCAAAGTCCGAGTCATGATAAGAGGAGCTTTGCTCCATTGGAGAAGTAGCAATAACAATTCTTTGGACACTTGCTACCACCGAGCTGGAGTTTCTTGATGACACTGGCTCTCAAGAATATGAAGAAATCAGCAAAAAGCTCTTAAATGGGAATTGTGTACTTCGGCTTCAAACAGAAAGCCTCATATGGAAAAGTTTTGTCCAGGGGAGCAGGACCAGGTCTCCGATTAAACTTTTTAAAAAGAATTTTAGCATGTAATAGCAAATCATTGTATTTTGTATTTATAATAGTCACATGACATGAAGAAACCATGACAAGTCTTCACCGAGCCATCGGTGGATGCCCCTCAGTTTGCTCCTGCTTCGTCCAGTGTGCCATGCAAATATGACTTTCCACACGTGTCATGATGTGGGAAAGGCTGGGAAGCATGTAACGGAAGGGTGGGAAGGGAGAAGCCGGAAGCCGGAAGCCCAGGGCATCGCGTCCCCAGGGAAGGGCGTGTTATGAATGACCGTCCAGCCCTGTCTTCCGGGGCCCATAGATATGACCTTCCCGCTGCTCCCCCAGCCCCCACGCCTGCCCCATCAGAAGCCTGAATCACCAGAAAAGCAGTCCCATCTGATAAACCACACATTTTCCCAGTTTTCCAGCGGAAAGCACCCCACAGCAGACTGACGAAAAGGCTCTATCGAACTTCAGTATGTTAGTATCTTTTCTCAGCACAAAGGGGAAAATTCTGATCTACTTTCTGAATACAGTTGCAAGGGAAATACATTTTTACAGTCATTAAAATTATGATTGTGAAGAAATACTGAAAAACACTTACAGTATAAAGTTCAGTGAAAAGCTAATACAAAATAGCACATCTATTCAGATTATAAAACAGATGTATGCTTTGAAAAGGTCATAAACAGAAAACTTATTTAAATAATGATAGAGTGGCAGAATTAGGAAATTTTTATTACTTAAGGTTTTTCTCTTTAACATTATTCAACTAGAATGGTAATCATATTCTCCCAAAAGTTGAATGAATTGATAACATGTCTGCAAGCTCATACTGTTTTCTTCGATTGGTTCCCATAAATTAATTGACGCTTGCTCCTATAGATGCATCAAAGCCTCTCTTTCAAACCAGGATCAAGGGTTAACTGTGTACAAGTGTTCGCTTACTTTTTCAAATATTGCAACGCTAAACAGAAAGGCGATTTTTAAAACTATTTATAAGCTGCCCATGGTACTTTAAACTCCACTGAAGATCACTACCGCATACGACCACTCAAACACACAGCCACTGGGATCCAAGGACCTTAAAGTAATAACTAAAAATATCTTACGGACTTTTTCAGAGTGAAAACAGGAATTATCAACATAATTAATCCTACGTTTTAAAAAAGCCAACAAAAGTAGAGCAAAAATGTCAAAATTAATACTTTAAAACTGTCTGCTCACCGGGCTGTAAACTATCTGTTGGCTCTTACTGGGTTAGCACAGGTGAAAATGCCAGGATGGTGTTCTGAGGAGCTGGAATTAACTGAGCGCTTACTACGTGCCAGGTACTTAGCACAGTACTTTCTGAGATATTTCATTTAAACTGAATGAGACTATTTTGGGGGGTAGTTGCTGTTATCCCCATAATCCAGGAGGTTAAATAACTTGCCAGGAAGCCAGAGAGTGGGTTAGAATTCGGGTGTCTCTAACTCTCAAGCCCATGTCTCCTTCACTGGGCTCTCCTGGACAGACCCGCCAGCAACAGCTAACAGTCAAGCGCCTTCAAGAACACAGGTAAACGTCTTTTTGAATTAAGGTTCCCTCTGGATATACGCCCAGGAGTGGGACTGCTGGACCATATGGTAAGTCTATTTTTAGTCTTTTGAGGAATCTCCACACTGTTTTCCACAGTGGCTGCACCAAACTGCATTCCCACCAGCAGTGTATGAGGGTTCCCTTTTCTCCACAGCCTCTCCAGCATTTGTCATTTGTGGACTTTTGAAGGATGGCCATTCTGACTGGTGTGAGGTGATACCTCATTGTAGTTTTGATTTGCATTTCTCTGATAGTTAGTGATATTTAGCATTTTTTTCACATGCCTATTGCACCCCAATGTTCATAGCAGCTCTATTTACAACAGCCAAGACGTGGAAACAACCTAAATGTGCATCAGCAGATGACTGGATAAAGAAGTTGCGGTATATTTATACAATGGAACACCACTCAGCCATAAAAAAATAATAAATTAATGCCATTTGCAACAATATGGATGTCCCTGGAGAATGTTATTCTAAGTGAAGGAAGCCAGAAAGAAAAAGAAAAATACCATATGATATCACTTATATGTGGAATCTAAAAAAAAGACAAGCTAACTTATTTACACAACAGAAATAGACTCACAGACATAGAAAACAAACTTACGGTTACCAGGGAGGGAAGGGGGAGGGGAGGGATAAACTGGGAGTTCGAGATTTGCAGATACTAACTACTACATATAAAATAGATAAACAACAAGTTCATACTGTATAGCACAGGGAACTATATTCAATATCTTGTAGTAACGTACAGTTAAAAAGAATATGAAAACAAATATATGTATGTTCCTATATGACTGAAGCATTGTGCTGTACACCAGAAACTGACACAACATTGTAAACTGACTATAGTTCAATAAAAATATATTTTTAAAAAAACTAGGAAAGTGGAGCCCTTAAAAAAAAAAGAATACAGGTAAATGACACGAGATACAAGGCCGACAACGTTAGGCTGCATCACTGGTCTCCTTTGTAACTCTTAGACACGTATATTTAAGCACTTTGTCTTAACCAGATTTTAACGCAGCCGGCAATCTACAGAGGCCCAAGTATAATCATCAAGCGTCTCACAACTACACTTTTTAAGGTGAGAAACAAATCCCCGAGTGGACTTAACCATGCAGATCAACTCCTGCATAGAGTGAACACCCAGAATTCCACGGATTTCCAGGGTCCACGTCTCTCGGGAGACACCGTGGCGGGGAGGAAAATAAACTGAGGCTAATGTCTGCCTTTTTGAAACTTGTGTTTGAATCCCATCTCTGCCACCTAATGGTCAGGAGATGACAAGCAAGCTGCTTGACCTCCTTAAGTCTCATCTACCTCCTTCACGATAAAGTAACGCGGTCAAAATTAACTGACAGCAGGTCACAAGGCCTGTACTGGGAGAGTGCTCAGTCAGGGCTGATCTCCTTGACTTTCTTGTAAAATCTCCAAATCCATGTGTTATGGCAGCAACTTAGCTATAGAAGTCCATACTTTTTTTGTCGTGACCATCAACTTGAAATTATATAATTAAGAAGAAAAATTACCTGAAGCATCGTCGAAAAATGTCTTATGGCTTCATCATAGAGGCCGCTGCCAACCAACACATATGCTATAGCTACAAAACAAAATACAAAAATATTGAAGGAACGAACAAAGGAACTCAGACTGAAAATGGTAACTAAATTCTTTTCTGAACCTTAAAAGGTAGCTCCAAGGACTAGAAGCAGTTAAAGAAAACCTAGAAGTTAATAAGATGTAATTGAATTCTGCTGCTGCTCAGCACTTGCTAATCAGTCTTCTATAGTTCTGGCTAGATTTAAATTATTAAAGCCATCTATAAAACATCTGCCTGCAAGAAGGAATTCTCTTTTTCTAAGCTCATCCCTCACTTTCAAAGACCGAATAATCTTTATGATGTTTCCCAGCTAGGAGAGCTGGCAATAAGCCTGAATAATCTCCACATAATATAGCAATGTGATTTTACTGTGAAAGTTACAAGAAATTCTCAAATAGCATCACATCTCGATTTTTACAGAGTGCTGAATTTACTGCCCATTAACTAGTAAGAACAAAAACAGAGGCTCAGATTAATATATACTAATATAATGCTTAACCATACATAACTCACACCACAGCAATGCGGTGGCAGTCTTTTCCTTACCTCTTCTATTCAACATATAACCAAAGCGCTAATCCAGTATTCTAAAAATGAATAAAAAATTGTTAATTCAAGTGGTATTTTGAAATTAGAGCCATGACAGTCTCTTGAAACATGGCAATATTTGGACTAAGGTTTTCACCTGTCCAAAAAACAATAAATTTTAATATTCTAGATTATATTTCCATCTATTGTATTTGCCCTAACTCCCTAAATCCCCAAATATCCCTGAAAAAATTGTATTCCTAACTCAATGTAATACTATTTTGACCATATTTCTTTGCAAAAAAAAGCTTTACTGTAATCCTCCAATTCTAGGGTTTAATAAGTGTTCAAGAAGATAGGAAACAAGAGGAAGGGTGCAGCTCAGTGGTAGAGTGTGTGCTTAGCAAGCATGATGTCCTGGGTTCAATCCCCAGTACCTCCATTAAAAAAGAAAAAAAAAAACCTTTAAAAAAAAAAAAAGAAGAAGAAGACAGACAACAAAAACTCTTACTGTCATTCAGAGTTTAAATTTCCGGACAGTTAAAAGTAGCGAAAACATTACATTCAGTAGAAACATTAAATGCAAAGAGATTCAGAGTATCTTTATAACTAACCTGAGAAAAGCACAATTCAAAAATACTGAGCGTCCTAACAACTCAAGAGTTTTCGGGATCATTCTTTACCGTGAAAAGAGAACTGCTTTTATCCTGATTTCTTTGACAAGATAATTAAGGCCAACCTCATATTCTGGATGATAGGAATGGATGCTGTTTAGATAGCTGCAGCAGATAATGAGGTAGCCAGGGACCTCTCTGTGGGGGTGGGGTGGGGTCGGGAGCTTTAGTAGTGAAACCAGCCACCACAACAACAGTAATGACAGGCACTGTGCCCTGAGTACGTGCCAGGCACAGCCCTAAGCACTTAGCGTACTGTGTGTAACTCACATACCCCTTCGCTGCAGCGCACGTAGGTACAGTTGCTATTCCCGTTTGAAGACAAGGAGAGGAAGCAGCTAAACCAACTGCACAGAGACAATGTGCAGCGAGACACAGGAGCCAGGCTGCCTGGCCCGGGGACCCACCCTTCTAACCAACACGCTCCCCTGAGAAAAGTCAAGGCAGCGCCGAGACTGTTGGGCCCCGGGTCGGACAGCAAAGTGATCTGAAGTCCTCGATGATTTGATGAAGGGAGTAAAACAGGAACTTGAACATTTTTGAATCCGGGAAGATGACGAGATGATGAGACTTTGGGGAGCCAAGATCTGGGCGGGGATGCTGGCCTGCCATTCGCCGGCTGTGCTGTCGTGAGGACCTCAGTCACTCTCGTTACTCTCTGGGTCTTGCTTCACAAGCCTGTAGAAATTTTTCTTAGCTTCCCTTCAGATCTAAATTTCTAGAATTTCCTATCTCTCTCCCCATAATCAGTAAATGGAATGAACAGATGACTAAGGGACCCATGAAAACAAAAACCACTTTAAGGGATAAAAGTTGTACTTAGGAACGTGTTTCCATTGTTGCTCACGGCGAGGCTGCTGGACTCCACTCAAATGAGATCAAATGCAGGTCTTAAATCTTTCCATCTAATAGTAACTATTTTTTGGAGAAAAACCCAAAAGTGCCCATTTAAAAATAAAGCTGGGGGAAAGGTATATATAGCTCAGTGGTAGAGGGCATGCCTAGCATGCGTGAGGTCCTGGGTTCGATCCCCAGTCCCTCCATTAAAAATTAAATAAATAAACCCAATTATCCACCCCTCCCAAAAAAATTAAAATTAAAAAAAAAAGCCAAATCTTGCACAAATATGATTACTAGGATCTAAATTTGGTTGTGGGAGTTCAAAGTCATAAAGAAAAAAAACCAGGATAGCTGGAATCTGCCAGAAATCCTTACTATCTCCTGACGACACGTTTGTTCACAGAAGTCATTTTTCCAGGAAAAAAAAATACTGAGATTCAAAAGGTCTTAAGCCAGCTCAGGGCCCATCCTATCCCCAGGGTACCAGGACTATTCTTAGAGCTAGACCAGGCCCTCAGTGAATTAGTTAATAAATGAATACAAGACTGAACAGAATCCAAGGGCTGCAGAAGAGACCAAATCTGATGCCCGAAAGGATAATTAATTCTCAAAGCGTCATCAAAGAACATACACAAAAAAGAGATAAATATTTTCAAAACAGTCAACTCTCAGTTATCTGCACTACCAGACGAGGAAGCCAGTTCAGAAAGCACTCAATCTTAATATAAATTGCGTCTGGCCACAGAGAGGAGAAAGTGATTATGTGTCAAGTAGATAGAAAAAAATTTCGCAGGCACTCTGGGCCACTGGGCCCCCGCACAGGAGCACGCGCCCATGTGGAATCTGTCCCACTGCACCGCTCCGTCCTGTGTTCAGTTTTGTTTCCACTCCTTCCAGCGTGAGCTGAGCAGGCAGTGAGGGAGACATGCCCCGGGCATATCACACCCCAGAGAAACCAGCCTGTTTTAAGACACGCCTTGAACAAGCCAAACTGCATGACCCATTTGCAAGCTTGAATGAACTCACCTTTCTACACTCACATGCATTTCAGGTCTGACCCAGTGATAACTGACTGGCTCCATGAGTAAAATTAGCTGAAACCCAGCTATTTTACTACACAGAAGACTAAAGCAGGCGTCATTCTCTTCTGCTTTCACTTCTAGATTGCTCCTAGCTGATGCCAGCACATAAATCACCTTTTAATGAATGCTAACAGCTCATAAGAACTCATTACCACAGTTATTAATTTCCATAGAAACACAGAGTTGGAACAGACCTTACTGATTCCATCCAAACCTTTTTATTTTGTGACATATAATAGACCCTCACAAGGGCTGAATGCCATATCCAAGCTCAAACCACTCATGTCAAAGGGGGAGGGTGTAGCTCACTGGTAGAGTGTGTGCTCAGCATGCATGAGGCCCTGAGTCCAATCCCCAGTACCACCATTAAAATAAACAAATACACCTGAAATCAAACCCCTCATGTCGGCAGAGCCTGTCCCTGAGTTCTGCCCGCTTCACCATCCTGCCCACCTGCTCTGCAGCTAATCATGAACTCTAGGCAAACACCCCAGGAAGAGCCCCTGATCCAAGTCTTACCTAGCTCTTCATTTGTGCTGTCGTTGTCAGTGGCAAATGGGAATCTCTTTTGTTCGGCAATAGACTTGGCCTGGCTCTGGAATAAAAAACAAACGAATGCACATTTTAGCTTATCACAGATGAAGAGAAAAGTTATCGTGAAACCTGTATTTTTAAAAAATCAAAGCTATGTTTGATGTATAGGGAACCAGGAAAATATTTGCATTAAGTCCTAGCCATCACATTCTTCAAGATCACGGGATGTGCTGTAATGATTTGCTTCCTCCCCTTATCATTGGTGGTTCAGTTTCCAAGAACACCTATTATTTTACTTTCATGGGGACTAAGCTTCCTGGCTGCTTCAAGGCTCCCTCCACAGACTATTTAATGCTGTCAATCATGTTGCAAAGATCACATGCTGGTGACTGGTCCTCCAATGTGGCTTGACAACAGAATGTTGCTTCTTACATTCTTAAAAATATTTTTAGAAATAAGAGCTACGGGTTGGACAGAGATGACGCCATAATAGGACCAACAAAACCTGACCAAGAAACAAGACATCCTACCAAGTAATGCACAGCAAGTGATGAACAGAAATATCCTACTTAATGCAGTAGCTTCGCCCAAGACAAGATGATGCAGACACACGCGTGCATGTTTGGCAGAAGAGCTAAAACAGAAGTGGAAACTGGGGAAAAACAAAGTAAGTCAGCCAGCTGAGTAACTGGAACGATTTGACAGGCAGAAAGGGTCCACCGTACAAAATGACGGCTCTATTGTGTTTTGGAGCTAATAATACAAACAGCTGTCACTTTGCCAGAAGATTTGACTGTCAACACAACGTTGTGATCTGCCTAGCCTACAGGGTACATATTAAAACGATAACTTCACACCAGATTCACTTGAGATGTGATTAAAACTTGTACACACACGTAGGCAGTAAAAGCTAAGATAGTTAAGACTGAAGATACCACTTTTGGCAAAACTATAGGCTTAGAAACCAGCGACATCCCAATTATCTGAATTCCTCCTTTTTTATTTTTTAAATCCATAGTACAAACGCCTACAGGCATATATGATGGCTAAATTACTATTACATAGAGACTCTTCTGACTGATGCATGTGCTGTTTAGCTGGTGACTGGTACTCGTTAACCGTGGTCTCCTGGGCTTCCCTGACGTAAGTAGCACAGTAACAAGGTATTTCCACTTAGATTCCCTGCACTGTTACAATCTGGATTGATGCTCAGATACAGAGTGGTATTTGGCTTGCCTTTAAAACAGGTCAAGAATAATCTACCTCTGGTTAAAACACAAGTTAAAAGACACAGGTCAGAAGGGCACCCCATGTCAGCAGAGATACACAGTACTGACTTTGTCCCATTCAGGACCCCGAACAAAGGGAAACATCTGAAGATTCCACTGCTTTGGGAGTGTTTACACTTTATTTCTTCCAGTAAAACCTCGGTGACTAGGGAGAAATTCCATCAGCTCTTTCTCGCTTTGCCCTACAGCTGGGAGCTTCCACACGTGGGCACCTCATCCGGCTTCTTGGAGAAGCAGAGCACTGCACAGCACCGTAAGGCATCACAGCGCTGTGCGCACAACCAGGTGGGACCAGACACGAGTCCTTCCTCTCTGTCTGCTGCTTACAGGCAGACACATAGATGCAAAGCATCCTTCTGTTTAACAAATGGCTTAGAGCCAAGGAAAGGAGTCTACGAACAATGCTTTTGATACTTTAAAAGTCTTATTACTCATCCAGTATTCAACGAGAGGCTACCATTTGCCAAGCCACCGTGCAGAAAGATGAGAACAGAAATGAAATCCCACTAAAAGAAGAAATCATTTGCCAAGCAACATCCAGAGTACACTGAAGAGTGCATCTGATTTAAATGTTTTGATTATATTAGAAATAAAAATCTGTAACAGAAGTGGGCAGGGAAAGCATAATGTGGAAAAATTAATTTCTTGATCAAAGAATCTCTCCCGTTTCTAAAACTGCATTGATAGCTGTCTTCTGTGGACAGAGCTGAGCCGCTGTGGGCCAGACTCAGCCCCACGCTGCTAGTAGACTAACTCCAACCCACCTGCCAGGTCCCTGCTGACATTTCAGTTCCCGAAAGCTGTCCTGCCTGATTCTCCTAATTTAAGGGCGATTATGTTGACCCTTTGTCTTTCCTTCATACAATTTGCACAATTGTGCTTGCTTCTCTGTATCATTATTTGACTAGTGGCTGTCGGAGTTGTAAGCGCAGGGACCAAGCTATCTGGCTCACCACAGTCTGGCTGGGTACTTACCTAGCATGATGCCTGGCACAAAATAGGTGCAAAATAAATGGGCAATGAATGAATAAATGAACAGTTTAACTCCCATGTTCTCAATTTAGGGAATCATGAAGGGCCTAGATTGATAAGCTTTCTCCCATAGGTTACTAGTTGGAAATGCAACTAGCAGAAAATATTTGAATTACTATCAGCAAGAAGGTCCCTAATAACTCTAAGAATCTAATCACATATCCAAGGTGGGAATTATCCAGTGTCGACCTAAATGTTTTCACTGATGGCCAACTCACTACTTCACAACCTAGGCCACTCTGGTTTGGGACAAGTCTAACCCAAAAGTGTTTCCATGTGTCAAGCTGACTGCTGTGCAATGAGTTAGGTAAAACCAGTTGATCATTCTCTAGTTTGCAATTATTACTAATATTCAGTAGTTCTTGCATGAGAAGGCAGAGTTTTGTCTGGAAAAGAAAGAGTATCCTAAAGGGAAATTTTAAACAAAAGAAGCAAACAGTATCTATGTGGATGTTGAAGGAAAATGTTAGCCATGGGCACAGAAAGAATTTAACTCAGTCTCAGAGAATTAAGTGTGAACAAGAAGACCCTTGCGCCTTGAGGCAGCTGGGCTGGAGGGGCCCACATGCTCACATGGACTGGCAGACACAGATGTGATACAGTGGCAGGTACTGATCCCTGGAATGGTGAGGTCTCCTGTACAGTTTAGTTGGTACAGATTGGAAACACAGATAGAAAACACAGGCAAAGACTGGAAAAATAAGATTATACTATACCTTCACATCCATAAGGCTCCTACAAACAAGGTTCAACCATGAGCTCCTTTATTGCTCAGAACTTTAAAGTAAAGAGGCCTAGGTCCAGAATGACCAACCATCCAACCCCTAAGTCATAATAATTCAGCGTGTCTAGACATGAGATGACTTATCTTTATCCTACACACATGGAACCAACTGGACTCAACTCCTGGTTGATAAATAGAGGCGATCTCTGCCTTTTGGAATGAGTATCACTGAGTTTCAGGTCACAGTAACAGAAGTCATGGACAGAAAGTGCATACCAGAATCTTTTCAGTGTTGAGGGAAAGCAAAGAGTCACAGGGTGGTGATCCTTTGGGTTCGCAGTCGGAGTCATGGAAGTTCAGAAAAGATGACTCTGAAAAGCAAACAGTCCTTGTTATCCTCCTCGCCTTAAATTTGTGGCTCTTAGGTGCTTAACTATGAATAGAAATGTTGAGAATCCACAAAACCAAAATAAGGACAAGTGTAAAAAACACTAAGAGGGGAATCCCACCTTCCACCTTTACAACTGTGCATTGTTTTCTAGTTTCCAAGCATCTTGCACACCCATCAGTGATCGTCTTCACAACAATTAACACAGTTGGTAAGATTCTTTCATTAGACATCTCCTGTTTGGCAGTATTTACCGGAGGTTAAAAAAAAATCACGAAAGTAGGAAGAAAGTAAGCCAGGAAGACCTAATGTTAAAAGGTATGCGCTAAGAGTCCAGTATCCAGAATATATAAAAATTCCTAAAGATCAACAAGAAAAAGACAACCTAGTTTAAAAATGGGCAAAGGACTTGAATTGGCAACTCTCCAAAGAAAACGCACAAATAGCCACTGAGTGCATAAAAAAAGTTCTACTTCCTTATTAATTAGGGAATGCAAGTCAAACCAATGAGGTACCACGTCACATACACTAGGATGGTTATAATTTTTTTTTAATGGAAATCACAAGTGTTGGCAAGGATATAGAGAAATTGAACCCTTGTGCATTGCTAAAAGGATGTAAAATGGTGTGGCCACTGTAGAAAACAGGTGGGTGGTTCCTCAAAAACGTAAACATAGAATTATCACACGATTCTGCTATTCCACTCCAAGGTTTGTAGCCCAAAGAACTGAAAACAGGGACTCAAGCAAGTGCATGTACATGCATGTTCACAGCAGCTGTGATGCTATACATTAGGTTTTTTTTTAACTGAAGTACAGTCAGTTACAATGTGTCAATTTCTGGTGTACAGCACAATGTCTCAGTCATGCACATACATACATATATTCCTCATATTCTTTTTCATTAAAGGTTATTACAAGATATTGAATATAGTCCTATGCCATAGAGAAGAAATTTGGTTTTTTACCTATTTTTATACATAGTGGTTAACATTTGCAAATGTCAAACTCCCAAATTTATCCCTTCCCACCTCCTTTCCCCCTGGTAACCATAAGATTGTTTACTATGTCTGTAAGTCTGTTTCTGTTTTATAGATGAGTTCATTAATGTCTTCTTTTTTCTTTTTTAGATTCCACATATGAGTGATATCATAGGGTATTTTTCTTTCTCTTACTGGCTTCCTTCACTTAGAATGTACACCAGTTATTGACACAACATTATAAACTGACTATACTTCATCAAAAAAAATTTTTTAAATCAAATATTGATACATATCACAACATGGAAGAACCTCCAAAACAAAAACTAAGTGAAAGAAACTAGACAGAAAAGGTCACATCCTGCATGATCCCATTTATACGAGATATCCAGAGTAGGCAAAGCCACAGAGACAGAGTGACCCTGGCAGTTGAAGGACAGAACAGAGAGAAACTGCTTAGTGGACGAGGAGTTTACTCTGGAGTGATGGAAATGTTCTGGGGTGACTGCACTAACTTAGTGAATATACTGAGTGCCACTGAACTGTTGACTTAAAAGTGGTCAACTTCATGTCATGTTAATTCTGTCTTAATAAGTTACTTTTTAAAGTATGCTAATTCAGCAGTCAGTAGAGAGTATCAAA